AGTTATCAATAAAATTTGTGACTTATATATATATATATATATATAAATGTAGGCAGTTTCTTCAAGTAAAAAAAATTAATTAAGATTTGATTGAAATTGTTGTATATAATAGTGCTACGATAATGGCCTTTTGTGTATTTTACTACTAAAAAACTATATTAATATTTGATAATTATTTTATAAAATATAATATATTATTATGATTATTGAATAAAAAAATAAAAATAAAAAGTCAAATTTACCTATAAAATTATTCAAATACTTTTATTAAAAAAAATGGCAATATATAAAGCAACCTAGTTAAGTAGAGCGAACGAATGTAGTAAATTTTCAATCTACACTACATTAACAAAATGATTCTGTTAATAAACCATTTCTAGTAGGAAAATAACAAAATAAAATTAAAGGGATATAGAGAAAAGGAGAGCAATTATTACCTATAGAAAAAGTTGGTAAGGTCAAGGTGAATGGAACATGGCATCAACTTTTGGATCTTGTGTCATTTTTATACACATTTTCAGAGTTTTCAATTTCTAACATATGATATGAGGATGATTTAAAAAGAAGAAAGATCAAAAACAAAACCCCGAGGAAGGGGCAAAAAAAAGTAAATAAAGAAAGGTGTGGCTTTACACACTGTAGTTATTATAGTCCCCTTCAAGGGTAAGAATCTTTGGCCCCCAAACACTACATTATCCACCAAATCATTTTCCGGGTTCCTCTCATTTTTAAGCAGAAGACAATGAAAACAGGTCTGTAAGATCTGCAAGTAAAGAAGAGAGATTAAGCAAGCAAAGCTACAATGGATTTGGTTCAGCTCCAGAGGCAGTTTGTTGACTACACAACCTCACTCTTCAATGAGGTCAGTCTGCTCTGTCATCAAATATGTAACATTGGTGAAGAATCTTGGACAGGAATTTCTTTGTTTCTGATCTTGAATTGGATTTTAATGGTGGGTTTTCATGTTTTTTGTAAAGGGTTTCTTGGATGACCAATTTAACCAACTCCAGCAGCTTCAAGATGAGAGCAACCCAGATTTTGTGGTTGAAGTTGTGTCTCTTTTCTTTGAAGATTCTGAGAGACATCTCAATGAGCTGACTCAGTCTCTGTGAGTAATTCCATCAAACACCTGGATTTCTGATATGGCTTGGCAATTGACATTGACATTTCTCTGTTTCTGTCTCTAATTTTTTACTTAGTGAACAGCAGAACATAGATTTCAAAAGGATAGATGCCCATGTTCACCAGTTGAAGGGCAGCTCCTCTAGGTATGTATTTTTTCTTGTTTTCTCATTTTCCAAACAAGTCTTCCTATCTTTAGAGGAGACTCGATGTCCGTATTTGGTTAACCATATGTTTCTTTGGATTGGATGATTTCCTGATTCCAATTAATTCTTGAAACAATTGTTATGATATTGATTCAATCACCTTTCCACATTCATATACAGCTTATGTATTGAAAAAAAAAAGACTTTATGTCACTAAAACCCATTTTCTTGTTTGATATTGAAAGATGTAGATAATATTCCTTTATCTCTACCCCACATGAAAGAAGCTTGTGGATATTGATCCTACCATGTATTTTCCATTATTTCATTGTTTTTTTTTTTTTCTATAAAAAATAATATGATCTTGAATTAGCAGCATTGGTGCACAAAGAGTTCAAAAAGAGTGCATTAACTTCCGAGGCTATTGCGAGGAGAAGAACATTGAAGGGTGAGTTGAATTTTGCTTCAAAGCTACTCTTTATCCAAGGAAAAAATTTCAATTTCATGGTGCATATGATTTGAGAAAAGTTGTCTTTTGATGTTGGGTTTAGGTGTCGTAAATGTCTCCAACAAGTGAAACATGAATATGTCCTTGTGAAAAACAAGCTCGAAACCCTTTTCAAGGTAATGCTTTTAGAGATATATGTTCCATCTTGTCACACCATTCCGTTCTAATGAGTTTGATTTTCTCTGTTTGATTGCAGCTCGAACAACAGATCATCGCGGCTGGAGGGTCGATCTGAGAGAAGAAAAACCAGATGGAGCTAAATGGGATTTTGGCAACATAAAGAATGGAAGATATATATATATATATATATATATTTTTTTTTTATTGTATTTTCTGTTTCTTGTTCCATTTTTAGCTGATTTCTTAAGCTATTTGATGAAGGGTTGTACCTACATTTTGGAGATTTAGCTTGGATTGTATCCGTTGTACAAGCAATGACAAAGAATGTGAATAAACAAACCCCTTCGTCTCTTCCCTCTCCATTGCAGCTTTGTTTAAGTGTTTACTGTTCATTTCACTTCTCTTTTTTTCTAAGAACGAAGCTAGGATTTAGAGAGTTTAGACCCAAATATGTTTTAGGTTCCCAAGTTCTCTCTGCTTCTTCTGTTCTCTAACTTTTCCTAACCCTTAAGCACAATTTTATTTTGTACATGTATTAAATAATTCTAATATATATATAGGGATTTTAACTTGAAATTTTGTAAAAATTGAACTTATATTCTTAATTGTTAAGATCTTGATTTGTTTCTTAACCATAAAGCCAAACCGAATATGAAGCGATCGGTTTTGATAATCCTCGAAAAACCAACCTCTGCATTCTATAAATGAAAATAAGAGCAGAGGTAACTACTTTCACATAACATTATAAAAGGAAGAAAAAAAAAAGAAAAGAAAAGAAAAGGGACAACAACCCTTTTCAGACAAATTATTATGTGTGTGTTTGGTAGGGGAAAAAGTTTAAGGACATTTTAATAATTTTACACCTTAATATCATAATAAATGAAAAATGAAATTATTTTTTTTAACCTTTAAATTTTTTCTAACGTGAAATTCAAATGATAATTTTTTGCTAACTTTTATTAACATTTTACTAAACATGAAAAAGTTAATAATACAATAAAATTTTATTATTATAAAACTTATCAATTTTTTTTATAAAATACTTTTTTAACTATTTTCTCAATAAAACTTTTCCAATAAAATTTACCACTAACTAAACAAGCCCTAAAAAAATGAAGAGAATGACAAACGAAGACAAATCATATGCATTCCCAAATTAAAATTGATCCCACCGACCAGTGGCTTTTGGATCATGATAATCTAATTCAAGTACTTTAATGTCCATACAATGTACTTTCAAGGTTTGAAAATTGAGAAAACAGCCCCCACTTTTGATTTGGTGATTATTTAAGTATCCATGATCTATATTGCATTCATTGAACATAATTATTTTATGTTGTTAATTGTTTTCGTACAAATTGCGTCCTCTTCCTTTGCCGGTGATCTTCTGGCGAAGCCGAAGTATACGCTGTAATCTATCACTAATAATTTTCTGCTAATGAGGCGTCCGGTCTAGTGGTAGTGGTTAAGGCTGAGTTTCTGGGTTCAAATCCCATATATGCGGGTTTACGTCCAGATTTTCTCCATGTTGACATGTTGTCGTAATTTTTTTTTTTTTTTTTCATTTGAGTAACTTATATAAAAGAGGATAACCCTCAATTTTCTCAATTTCTCTTCCCTTGACTTAAAATTTGAATTTAAAATATCAAACTCTTAGTCATTATGCCAACCCATTAGGGGTTTTCTTTTGGTTTTTTTCTTTTGTGAAATTGTGTGAAAATAATATATTTTACCATTAAAAATATCAAAATGTTCCATAATAATTAAAAGGTGGGTGAGATATAGTGTAGATCCTACTTACATTTTATTCATTATGTGATTAGAAATAGAGGTCTTGATATTTTTAATATAAGTTATCTTGATTTTCACTTTTTTTATTTTTTATTTTCTATTTTTGTACTTTAAATGACATTTATATATTATGTGAAGATGTAATATGTAACGTGTATGAATTTCATATAAAAAAAATATTCAAGGTTTCAAATTAAAATTTTGAACTTTAGAGATAGCAACACCACCAGCTTGCTACATCCCTAGTTGCATCACTAAATTTCATAAGAAACTCATTAGATTTATGATGAGCAAGGATAATATATAGATGATAGTTTAAATGGATAAAGAAAAAAAGTGATTATCTATGACCAATGAAGTCTTGGTCTTGGTGATAAAGAATAGAATGAGATCTTGAGATATCTCAGGTTCATATTCTCCTTGAGGAAAAAAAAAAAAGGGAAATATTATTGAGACAATTTTTTTATCTTATTTTTTTGTACAATTTGACGTATCATTAAAATGATTAATTTTTTTAATTTATGTAGAACTCGTGATATTAAATACATCTACTTATTTAATGACATGTGAAAGTTGTATAAAAATATGAGATAAAAAAGTTATCCTAATAATATAACCCGATAAAATAATGCATGTATAGAAAGTTTACAGGTGAGGAGATTCCACCATATCTGTTGAATCATAGAGTAGTTAGATAAAATAAGAAGAGATTTATCCCAAGTGCACGCATGTGGAACTAGCGGGGAGCACAATTGAATTTTTAGACATTTTCTATGTAACCAAAGGCCCCAAAAGGCCCAAGTTCATAAGGCATGAGGCCCAAAAAATCCCAATTTTCATGTCCAAATCTTAACACATGAAATTGTTGTTGTGTAGAAGAGTTTAAATGTTAGGTGTGAAGAACTGTAAAAAAAATCATAAGAACTGTCAATAATTGATAAATATATGCTGCAGGATAAGGATTGACTGAAATGAGAAAAACAAAAATTGAAGCCCAAACACAAAACAGAAATTATGGATGATGATATATGAACATAGGAGCAAATTAGAATGGGTTAAGAGCACATATCTCTCTCTAAGATGAGCTAAACATTTACATGTGAACTTGAACAAATTATAATAGATAATTTTTTGGAAAAGTAGAAGAAATGCTAATTTTATTTTGGAAATTCCACTACTTACTCTTTGGAGTGGTTGCCCTTAACTTCAAAATTACCAAAGAAAAAAAAAGGAAAGGAAAGGAAAAAAAAAACCTCTTGATTCTATGTGGTTTCTTAACCTCACAGTCATAAAAGTATGTTCTTAACTCCCTCCATAATTCAAAAAATGTGTACTTGGCCTTCTAGTTTATTGATATTAAAGCTGAAATCTAAAAACACTTAAGGGTTAAGTGCATCTTTACCAAATTACAAATGGGTTAAGAGCACATTTTAAAATTTGAGAGTTAAGTACATGTTTTCAAATTATATGGGAAATCATGTATCTTTTTATAATTTAAAAGATTAAGTACATCTATTCAAACTTCAAACTACGTGGACTAAGTACAATTTGTCCTCTTTCTTTTTTTAACAAAACTTGAGAATGCTGATGGGGTTGTTTGAGTTCTAGATGATCAGTATCTACATTAGCTCCAAATCTTAAGGGCTTGTCCACTAGGCTTCCAATTTTAATTGGAAAATAAAATTGGTATTCCCTTGTCCATGTTCCTTAGAAAGATGCATTGGGACTTTGGGAGGACTGACGCTCTCAGGGATCTGTACATAAATAAATAATTAATTAAATGCCCAAAGATAAGGTTGCTGAGGCAGGTAAAATATTTGTCAATGTGCAACTTCCATTCTGTGTTGCCTTTCCAGTTTCCACAGGACAACCTCATCCTTTTATCATTTTCGAATAATTATTTTTTTTGAATTTTCTTCATTGTAATTTAAATTAAAGATCTTACTTCTAAAATGAAAGAGATTAGGATTATAACGCTCGTTATTAAAATTAGAGAAAAGTGTACAAGTTGCATTTCTAAATAATTAAAAAGAAAAACACTACAAAATTGTATTGTTTGAATAAATTTTTATTAAAAAATATTCATATAACTTACTTTTAAATAAGGGAATGAGATTGTTTTTGCTTCTTTTTTTTTCATATTATTTTATTAAAAGGACGTAGTTTCATAGTTTTTTTCTTCATAGCTTTTTAAAGGTTCAACGAAAAAATACTAATCTTTTAACATTATAACAATAACATGGTTTCACAACTGGAGTTATTGCTAACTTTCATTTGGTTAAGGCCATATATTGTATCTATAATTTTATTAGTTTATAATTTTTTTAAAAATAATTAGTTATGATATTTTAAAATATTTATTTATAAACTGATTTCAATATATTAAATAATAAATAGGATAAAGATATGTACACCCACCGGTGTTGAACCGGTGGGTGCACATATTATAGAATAAAAGTTTTCTGTATAAACCAAAGGATAAAATTACAAATTTAACCTTCTTCCTCTTTTTCTTCCATCATCCTCTGATCACCATTTTTACCCATCATCTCCGATCTTCATCATCCTCCACCTTCATCACCGATCATTCTTCTTCATCATCAATCACCCATCTCTAATCTTCTCATCACCTTCATCACCGATCATTCTTCTTCTTTCCCTCACCTCTTTCTTTCTTCTTCTTCTTTTTTTTTTTCTCTCTCTCAGTGGAGAACCCAGCTCGGGTTCTCATCGGAGAACCC